CAATAGTAATAAATGTATTCTGGAGTTACAATCTCGAGTACACATAATGGCACCCTAAACTTTTGATTCAACGGACTGATGTTTCTGCCCAAATAACCTCTGGAAGGAAGAACCTATCCATGATGTCATAGTAAAATAACCTGGTTTTAGATGCATGATGTCTAAGAAGATGGAAGATAAATACATGGAAAACTGCTGTGGAACATTATCAGGACCATCTTTTTCGGTACCTCAAAACTACAAATGTACCCTCAAGTCTCATTAAATAAACCATCTCTTGCACCAACTATTATTTCCCAAGTGCTTAGAAAGTGGCGTATAAGAACTCAAAATCTTTTACTCATGTGATAACAGAGAAAACTATTACTCAGCACCTACTCCCATGCTGAAGATTGTCCGGATATTACACATTGTTTCCTGCAAGCAATGGCCGAATACGCAATTTGATAGCATATAAAACCCTCAAGTCCAACTTTTGTACGACCAGATCCTTACTGAAGCTTTTGTAGTGCCAACGATTATTCACTAGCTGTGATGAGAACAAGTTTCACCTCAGATGTTCCATCTTATTTTTGCACAAACAGAGCAGGACACAAGTTTGTGTCTGTCTGATAGGCTATTTGGAATCGAGGTTGTTCTTTTGTCAGCTAATCATGGTAATGAAACCGGTGTCCATAGCTAATAATCCTGAAAAGGAGGTGAAGTTGCAGCTAGGAACCCAGGATCAGCCATGAGATAAGACTTTAACCAATAAGATATTTGTTTGTCATTAGACTTTATTTTTTACCAAAAATATCATTTAGCAAGCAAGCTTACTTGCTTTAGTGATTTATCAAGGTGCGTCGGAATCTCACGCAATTTGTGCATGATATTGGTTAATTCATTTAATATATTGTAACCTTTACCTTAAAATATATATATATATATATATAGTTTGGAGGCTATCTGTTCCGGCAGATTGAGACGTCGATTAAGACGTGATCTTTCACTACTACTGTGATTTTTTGTGTGTATGTGAAGCTTGGTTGATAAAGAAAGGTTCCCTTTTCTAATATTCTCTTTTTCTTGTAGCTTTTTTTTTGGTGCCTGAGAATAAATTCCTATTGTTATTGCATTATCAGTATCTATAAAAGCTTGGCTGGCTTTCGTTGCCTCTCCATGTAATGCTGCCTACCAGTGCAGATGGAAACATTTAATAAAGGTGTTCCTTGGTACGATTCATTTAAACACCATTGGAATTTTAACTGTTGCTTAGCTGAATACAAAATGCAACGCATTAATAGACGTAAGATGTCTAGATCACATCTCTGTCTACTTAATTTGAAAGATTTTGAAGTTTAATCACACATTCATTGCAAGTCCTTGTCAAAAAAATTCATTGCAATTCCTTTTACATTGAAAGACCTTTAGATTGTGGTGGCAATCTGTGATGTGGGGGTAAGAAAAAGAATAGGAGAGAAGATACTGGAAATAAGAAAAGATTAGCTACCATCCTTTTTTTGTTTTTGGAGAAGAAAAGTCGAGAATCTGAATTAGTGAATTTGTTCTGTAGTGTGCAGAGCTATCATCCTTGAAAAAATGTTGAACATATTTTAGACATCTCTGGTGGAACGACATGACAATGGCTAAAAATTCTTTTACTGTTATAAAAGGTGATTTCAACGTACTAAACTTGGCATATTATGATGCTAATGTTGTAGAAGAAGAATAAAAACTTGGCACAGATGAATTTACAGATGAACGGGCAACCGTACTTGTGAATCAGATCCAATTTTAGTTTTTAACACACTGTCAACTGTCTCATTACGATCTGATGGCATCAGCCCATATGTATATTGCTGAAGTGTGGATCCCCACCTTCCATCTGCGGATATTAGCAAAAATAGTAGCGTATTATTAAAGTAGAACAACGGCAGAAAACAGGATAAAAACAGGGTATTCAAAAGTATGTTAGCTGACTGATAAGTTTATTTTAGTCGTAAACTTGCATTTTCTTGTGAGAGTACTGATGAGTGAAAGGGTCATTTCTAAATACTTATTGCAGATTTTTATTATACACTCAACTTCACGAAAAAAGAATTACTGAAGAATTTAACCGTAAAAACACACCTATATTTGGTATTATTAATAAAAGGCCTATGTCATTTGGGTTTTTTTTTTTTTAGGGGGAGGGGGGGGGGAGTGCTCTGACATGAGGATAAGGATTTTTTGACAGGAAATAATGTCCTTGCAAAATGAATAAA